CATATCAGAGATTGCGCAGCTCACACATCCAGGAGCAAAGATACTTGTCAACGCTGCCCCACGACTTTCATTAATAACAGGTTAAATACTGAATTGCTACATTATATTTTTCAGCAACAAGAAGATAAAATCGCTGTTTTTGAAGTAAACTCACTCTAAAAAGAGAAACGCACAGACGCGCATACACGCAACTTTCATCTCTCTGTCTCCCTCTCTTGCTCTCCAATTGGCAATATTTGAGAAAAGGGTTTAACGATTTATAATTATTGGGGGGGACTAGCCTCCCTCAATGTCTATGGTGGTTATCGCTCTGATCAGACATGAAAATATGTTGTGGCACTATTGTGCAGTTTGTAATGATATGACGTTAGCAAACTTTAGCGATTTTTTGCAAACATTTCTTTGAGTAACATGACCGTAAATATGAACTCACGATTGAAATAACATAAAACAAATTATTACTTTTCATTAAAATCTTTATTAATGTCAAAAATGCTTTCATTTATGTGTCTTTTTGTTCGCTCAGGCATCCATGTTGCCGCTGAAGCCAGTTTATGCTGAGATAATTCATACCCCTCGATTTATAATTATTGGGGGGGACTAGCCTCCCTCAATGTCTATGGTGGTTATCGCTCTGATCAGACATGAAAATATGTTGTGGCACTATTGTGCAGTTTGTAATGATATGACGTTAGCAAACTTTAGCGATTTTTTGCAAACATTTCTTTGAGTAACATGACCGTAAATATGAACTCACGATTGAAATAACATAAAACAAATTATTACTTTTCATTCAAATCTTTATTAATGTCAAAAATGCTTTCATTTATGTGTCTTTTTGTTCGCTCGGCAACGTCCGAACTGATTGCACTATATTTTATGTATAATCATTTTCTATTCTTAACTGTTTTAAATTCATTTTAAACCTCATAAATACATTTTTAAATTATTTTCAAAGTTTTTAAATTCCTTGTTTTATTGTTATTATTATTATTTTATTTTATGTAAAGCACTTTGAATTACCATTGTGTATGAAATGTGCTATATAAACAAACTTGCCTTTCCTTGCCTTGCCTTGCCAGAGAGGGCTCCAGTCCCCGAGTTTAGCCCAGAGAAGGCTCCAGTCCCCGAGTTTATCCAGAGAAGGCTCCAGTCCCCGAGTGTAGCACAGAAAGGGCTCCAGTTCCCATGTCGAGCCCAAGGAGGGCTCCCCAAGTCAAACCCAGCGAGGGCCACTGTTCCTGAGTTAGGCCTCTAAAGACGATATTCACCCTAAGGATTTTGGGGGGGGTGGTATGCGTTCGTCCGTAGCGGCCGGGCTGAGTTCCTGAGTTCCCTTCTCCGCCATGGCCTTCTGAACTGTTTGCTCCGCCATGGCCTCCTGAACTGTCTGATCCGCCATGGCCTTCTGAGCTGCCTGCTCCGCCAGGGCTCCCCAAACTCCCTGTCCCAGCATGGCTCTCCGAGCTCCCTGTTCCCCCATGGCCTCCTGAACTGTATGCTCCGCCATGGCCTCCTAGTCTGCCTGCTCCGCCATGGCTCCCAGAGCTACCTGCTCCCCTGAGCTCCCTGTGCCGCCATGGACTGCCTGATCTGCCCTGGAGGTATTCCCCGTGTTTCAGTCCTGCACCAGCCTCCAGGGCACCCACCCTGTAATGTCAGACTCTGATCCGTGTCTGTGTTTTTTTTTCCCCCACGTGTTCCAGGTTATATAGGCCTCATGCTCAGCGAAGCATCCTAAGTGAGTTTTTAGCCCTTTCACTGCACTGTTTCTTTCTCTCTCTTTCATCTTCTCTCTTTAAACCCATTACCTTAAAGGAATATTTCACCCAGAAATGAGAATTCATTCATTATTCGCTTTCACATTCTCTTACAAGTTTCAAAAAGCACACAAAAGCATCCTAAAAAGTAGCATAAAAAGTAGTCCATTCAACTCATGCAGGTGCCTCATCAAGCCATAACATTTAAAAAATGTTGTTATTGTTCATTTAAAGTATTATTTCTATGTGAATTTGCTATATGATTCTAAAGTAAATCAGTTATCATATGCTTCTCAGAGTAGCCAAGTGTCAGACTCTGTTCCGTGTCTGTGTGTGTTTCCTTCCCCCACGTGCGCCAGGTTATGTTTATTTCCTTATTTGGTCTTCCTGTTCCTGTCCTGATTGTGTTGTCATTTGTTCCAGGTGTTCCACGTTCTGTTCCATTGTTCCCAGGTGTGTCCCATTAGTTTCAGTGTATTTAAAGTGTTTTCTGCCCCTCGTTTCCCATCCGGTATTGATCGTCAATCCCTGTGTCCTACGTGTGATTCCTGTGGTGTCAATGTCAATAAAGACTGTGTATCTTGATTCTCCACCGTTCTCCTCGTTCCTCGCTCCTCACCGTAGGTGCACCGTGACACATGCATTATTGATGAAACAAATAAATGTAGTAAATTTAGTTTTACAGTTTAACGGTCCTTTTATTGTTTCCTGTCTTTTAAAAAATACAGTGATGAAACACTAATTTTGTGTTAAACATGTTTCTGTAACGGAAGAGGTCTGACGCAACAGGTTAGTATATCAATCAAGTTTATTTGGTCACAGAGAGTACGGGTGTAGGATCCAGGTGATGACACGGTGAGTGTATAGTTCGTAGAACAGTTTAAAGGATATGATGAGTGGAATGATCAGAGTCCTTTCCTTTACAGGAGCTGGAATGCACACGGAAGAGCACTCAACCCAGCGATTCAGGAACAGGAGACAATTGGAGGAACACAGGAGGTAAGTAATGCAGGAAGTATTCAAATGTAAGCAGTAGTAAAGTCAGAGAGTCCTCTACGTGTGTACGAGACCGGACAATGAGGGTGTCTGAGGTGTGTGCTTTTATGCAGGCTGGTTGGTGAGGTGCTTGATTGGTGACAGGTGCGTGTAATTAGTGCTCAGGTGAAGGTGTTTGCTGTGATTGGGAGGTGACTGAGTCTGGCCGATCTGTGACAAGGGTGTGCGCCCTGAGGGCTGGTAAAGGACGGAGACCCGGGAGGCCTCCAGGGCGGAGCAGGTAGTTCAAGCTGCCATGGCGGATCAGGGGAATCGGGAGGCCATGGCGGATCCTCCGTGGCCTTAGCCGGTTCGGCCGCGGGCATATGGCCCCCCTAATTTTCTTGGGGAAAACTAGGTATCCTGGGGGTCGCTCAGGACGAGCGGGCACTGGGTCGTTGGGCCGGGAGCCGACACTGGAGCGAGCTCGGGGGCTGGAGCCGACACTGGAGCGAGCTCTGGGGCTGGAGCCGACACTGGAGCGAGCTCTGGGGCTGGAGCCGACACTGGAGCGAGCTCTGGGGCTGGAGCCCTTCCTGGGCCGAACTGGGGATCAGGAGCCCATCCTGGGCCGAACTGGGGATCAGGAGCCCATCCTGGGCCGAACTGGGGATCAGGAGCCCATCCTGGGCCGAACTGGGGATCGGCCAGCTGCCTTGGGTGAGCCGCGGACGGCGGCGGACTGGTTCTGGCTCAGGACCTGATACTCCCCAGACACCGGAAGACTCCTTCTCTGCAACACAGTCCAGTGGTGATGGGAGGTCCAAGGGGCGATGGGCGATGGCCCCAAGCCAGAACAGATGGTTGAGGGTGGCATCATCCATCGTCGATACCGCGGCGAGCTTGCAAAACTCCCCGGCATACTCGTAGAAGGGGAGATCCCGGCGAGCGAGGGCGGAGAAACACACAGCCGATTGCATGTGGGGAGAAACAAGGAAAAAACAAAACTCTTCAAAAATAGAACTAAAACGGGGAGAGGGGGCGCCGATTGCTGAATCCGTTTGGGGTCCGGTCTTCTGTAACGGAAGAGGTCTGACGCAACAGGTTAGTATATCAATCAAGTTTATTTGGTCACAGAGAGTACGGATGTAGGATCCAGGTGATGACACGGTGAGTGTATAGTTCGTAGAACAGTTTAAAGGATATGATGAGTGGAATGATCAGAGTCCTTTCCTTTACAGGAGCTGGAATGCACACGGAAGAGCACACACCTCAGCGATCCAGGAACTAGGAGGAACAGGAGACACTTGGATATGAGGAGACACTAGGAGGAACACAGGAGGTAAGTAATGCAGGAAGTATTCAAATGTCAGCAGTAGTAAAGTCAGAGAGTCCTCTACCTGTGTACGAGACGGGACAATGAGGGTGTCTGAGGTGTGTGCTTTTATGCAGGCTGGTTGATGAGGTGCTTGATTGGTGACAGGTGCATGTAATTAGTGCTTAGGTGAAGGTGTTTGCTGTGATTGGGAGGTGACTGAGTCTGGCCGATCTGTGACAGTTTCCAGCGTGTTTGATTTTGTTACACTTTCTGATAGGGATGTAACAATTCACCGCGAGCTGGTTGAAAATCGATACAAATGTTACAAATCAAATTGGTTGAGATGTTAAACGAATCGCTATACATTTTGGGGGTGGGAGTTTATATGAATGTATCTCTGAGGGGAACTGACTGTCTATAGGAAAGTTTAGCAGATATTTTCTTTACATCTGGTCTCTGTATAATCCTTACTACAGTAGTGTTCATAAGCGCTGCACTGCTTTGTTTACAGTGGTAACCAAGGAAACGCTGTATCTGCTGTTCCATGAGCGCCTCCTGCTTCATGCAGATATTTTATGTAGTATAGTTTCACAAAACTAATGTCAGAGCATTCTGTTTAGCGTTCTAATCTTTCAAATTATACAATCTAATTTAGATCTTAAAAACTGCTCATGCTGCATGTATTCAGCATCTTTGTTTGGATTTTGATTCAAATGCAGTGGTCTTGGTGCAGTTAAACTGGTGTTGACTTGTTTTTGTTTCTGTTCACCCTAGACCTGATGCCACTGAAAGAGGAGAGTCAAGAACTGAATGAAATGGAAGAGAAAGATGATTTCATGACTGGGGAAAAATCTTTTACTTACTCGCCGACTCAAAAAACAGAAACCAGAAACCTTGAATTCCAGATGAGTGTTCACACTGGAGAGAAGCCTTATGTCTGCCAACAGTGTGGAAAGAGTTTCATTCAAAAAGACAGCCTTAAAGTCCACATGAAAATTCACAGTGGAAAGAAGCCTTACACCTGCAAACAGTGTGGGAAGTGTTTCTCACTAAAAGTAAACCTTAACAGTCACATAAGAATCCATGCTGGAGAGAAGTCGTTCGTCTGCTCTCAGTGTGGAAAGAGTTTCAAACAGAAAAAGTACCTTAATGCCCACATGACAATTCACAGTGGAGAGAAGCCTCACACCTGCAAACTGTGCGGGAAGAGCTTCACGCGAAAAGAAAATCTTACAATTCACATGAGAATTCACACTGGAGAGAAGCCTTACATTTGCCAACAGTGTGGGAAGAGCTTTACACAAAAAGAAAATCTTAAAATTCACATGAGAATCCACACTGGAGAGAAGCCATTCATCTGCTCGCAGTGTGGGAAGAGTTTTAAACAGAAAAAGTACCTTAATTCCCACATGACAATTCACACTGGAGAGAAACCGTTTGTTTGTGATCAGTGTGAAAAGAGTTTCAGATATAAAGCGCACCTTGATCTTCACATGAGGATTCACTCAGAAGAGAACTGTTTTATATGTCATCAGTGTGGAAAGAGTTTCATACACAGATCAAACTTTGAGAATCACTTAAGAATTCACACTGGAGAGAAGCCGTTCACCTGCCCTCAGTGTGGAAAGAGCTTCATGACGAAAGGAAACCTTAAGATTCACATGAGAGTTCACACTGGAGAGAAACCTTACAAGTGTCTTCAGTGTGAAAAGAGTTTCACATATCACACAAACATGAAACGGCATTTGCAAACTCATTCTGGAAAGAAATTCTAAACCTCATGTCACACTGAGGAAAATGGCAATTTCAACAATCATCTGCAAATTCACTCTGAAGAAAGACAATTCAGTTGTGATCAGTCTAATTAAAACATCACATTAGTATATTCATATGAAAAATCATGTAAGTGTGAGAACCTGATTGTGTTCTTTGTTAAGTCCTATTCGGACAGGATTAGTTTTACATGGAGAGGTGGAATAAAGAAAGTATTACCAGAGCTTCTCAGTGATTTTAGTCCCATCTAAATGTGCAATGTCTGTAAAGATTACAGCGACATTCTCTACAAAGATCAGGGATCCCACACTTGGCCACATGTCCTTTCCTTTCCTAATCCTAGCTTTCCACGGTTTTTACAAGTATGGAGGCACTTGAAAAAGCATTCAGTTGCGTTCCAGGCAGTGGGACAAGTCTGTGGCAAACCTCGTGTTTTCAGCATTCAGATCAATAAGGTGGTCAAAAGCACTTGTTAGAGGCACAAAATTTCTTTTAGCTTTAGGTAAGTGCGTATTACCGACAGCATCCTGTCACGAATCCGGTCTATAAACTTCAGTGCACTCACCACCAGAGGTCACCCACTCTCCACATGGACTCTCACACTACACAGACTGTTACACATCACTCTGGACTACATTTCCCATGCTCCATTGCACTAATCACAAGCTCACCTGAAACCAATCACACACAGCTGCTACCAATAACACACACTATATAAATCTCACGCCACCATTCAACGCCGAGTATTGTTTAGTGTGTATCCCTGCTATAGCTGATAGCTACCTTACGGAGCCTGATTTAAGTTTCCTAGTCTTAGCTTAGTCTTGCCTTGTCTGTGTTTTCTCGTGTTCTGATCATTGCCTGTGTACTTTGGATTACCTCTCTCGTCTTGCCCTGTTCGGATACTGTTTGCCCCTGCCTGGACCTTTGCTTTGTTCCTGGATTATCCCTCTAGTCTCGCCCTGTTGGATTACGTTCGCCGTCGACTGACCCTCGCTTGTTTACCTGATTGCTCTTGCCTGGTCTTCTACATACCAGTTTGCCATTCTCTGATCATGCCTGTTTCTGACCACGTCTCCTAAATAAAGCTTGCAAATGGATCTGCACGTCTTGTTCGTCCCTTAACACATCCAATCAGAACAATTAATTTAAATAATAAATTGTTTGATCAGACCTAAGTGTTTTATATACAGTGTTGTGCAAGTTACTTCCAAAGTGTAATACATTATAGATTACTTGTTACTGTTATTTATAAGTAATTCCTTACCTTACAATATTACTGTTTCAGAATTGTAATGCGTTACATGACTCCTGTATTACTTTTGAGTTACTTTCACCAAAATAACTACAGAAGTAGAACTTAAAGGCACAATATGTAATTTTCGCCGCTGGAGGGCGCGTATTCAAAAGAAACAAAGGCGTAGTTTGATGACGTCGTGACTGAGTGTGGAATCATGGGAGTTGTGGTCTTCATCCGCACAGCCGATGCAATCCGACAGGACTCGGGCAGAAATCATGTTCATGGATGAGCTAATGATTTATTAACGTAGTAGAATGAAGCAGGGTGAGGCTGAAAGCCGTCGAAGCGAAACGAGGCGCTGAACGAGCGCGACACATGGCTGGAAAGCAGCGGAGCTTTTATTATGCCACAGTCGAGCGCTTCCGCTGCTTCCGGTCGTGCGTGTGTGGGGTAAAGCAGCGGAGCTTTTATTATGCCACAGTCGAGCGCTTCCGCTGCTTCCGGTCGTGCGTGTGTGGGGTAAAGCAGCGGAGCTTTTATTATGCCACAGTCGA